AAGAATGTAAGAGCTGCAAGATTGGGAGATAAGCAAGCAGTGAGATTCATCTTCTAAGCAGGACACCACCCAAGCAGCTACAAATTCACAGCAGCTGGGAATACTGGCACTGAGTTCACAGAAGTTGGCTGTTACGGCGGGTAAAGGGACTCATGAGCCCCCAGGACATACTGCTGATCTGTTGGTAACCAACAGATACTGGAAGAGGATGAGGAATAGTATCCAGTTGTACACAGCCTGGTGAGCTCACCAGGCCATGATGGTCAGTTCCAAATTAAGAATCACACAGACAGCCCTGATAAAACTCTGTGGGAACACTAAACAAAACCAAAACTGGTAAATAGGGGAAAGAGATTGGGGGGCGGGGGGTGCTGGTAGAGGCAGGAGAAAATTGGAGGGGGACAAGATTACATGGATATATGGGTGAAACTGTGAAAGAACAAAATTTGCTATGAAAAAAAAGAACTCGGGGAAATGGGTAGTTAAAAATGCAAAGGACACAAAAGAAAAACAGGCATGAAAAAGTAGCCTACAGCAAGTCTTTAAAAACACTGACAAAAACATTGACTATAATCAATAGCCATGTTCATAGCTCATCCTTTATTTAGCACTTTCATTTCTCTGAGCAATGTTTTACATTTTTCAACGTGCAAGTATTGTGTATTGTAAAATTTTACCCCAACTATTCCCTAAGTTTTCACACCATAGTGAACTGTGTCATAATTATATTTCAACTCCCTACTGTGTTTCGCATAGAAATATAATTGGCTTCCATCTATCAATCTTGTAACCTGTGACCATGCTAAACTTCTTTATTAATTCTAGTGGCTTCTTTGTAGATATTAGATTTTATACAAAATGGCTATTTTGTCCACAAAGAAAGCTTACATTTCCCTTCCCAATCTGTACATCTTTTATTACTTTTCTTGCCTTCTTTCAGAATTTTATATCCAGAGAAAATATCCTTCATAAATGGAAGATATTATCAGATAAGGAATATTAAGAAAATCTACCACCAGCAAACCTGGTATAAAATGAATGGACAGGAAAGAAATGGTAAGAGAAGGAAACTTGGATCCAGGAATAAAGAACAAAACACCTAGTAAATTTTCTATTCTTTTCCTCTTATTACAATTATCTTGGCCTGTTGAAAGCAAAAACCCTAACACTGTCTGATGTAATGCTCAATGGACAGAAAGGTAGTATTAAGACAACTGTCTCATGAAGTGTGAAGAGTAAGGTCCTAAATACTGTTAAAGATGTCAACACTCCACCTAAAACAGTAAAATGTTGCTATTATAAGTAGATTGTTGGAATATGGGTGTCTGTGTGTATGTATATAAATGTATGTATATATATATAAACCTATCTTTTGTTTTGTTTTTATGTGTGTGTACATGTTCATGTGTGCAGGTATACATACATATACACACATATGGAGAACAGAGGGCAAACTCACTGTCATTCTCAGGAACTGTCCACCTCCTTTGAGACAGGATCTCTCAATAGCCTAGAGTTCACCAATTAAGCTAGACTCACTGGCAAGTCCCAGGAATCTTCCTGTCTCTGCCTTCCTGACACTAGGAATACAAGTGTATGCCACCACATCCAGTATTTTCATGTGAGTTTTGGGGATTGAATTCATGTCTTCATGCTTCTGAGGCAAGTAGTTAGCCAATTTAGCTATCTACCCAATCCTATAATTTTTTAAGCTGAGGTGATCCTACTGTTACCCAGCCTGTTCTCAAACTAGTAGGCTCCTGTAATCTTCCTGCCTCAGCCTCACCTGCATCACACCTGAGAACATACATAATTTTAGTCCCTAAAGCAACTATTATAAAAAAATATGAGAACATGCCAGTTATGGTAGCACACACCTGTAATTCCAAAACAGATTCAGAAGGATGAGGCAAGAGGCTCACAAGTAGCCAGCCAGAGTTACATACATAGTGAGTTTCAGCACAGCCTAGGCTATGGTGTAAGATCTAGTCTCAAAAACAAAACAAAGATTACCAAGGAAGTAAATTTAAAAATATATACCTCCAAGACCTAGTCATGCCTGCTTCTAAGAATGATCTCCAATTTCTCCAAGATTGGCTGATTTTTAAAACTTTTAACACCTTTGTACACTTTCTTTGCATTTATACGCACGTACTTTTTGTAGTTTTGTTTTTGTTTCTGAACTGTATGAAAGTAAGATACAGCAAACAGGAAACTTCACCCCTAACTACTTCTCAAATATTTTCTAAGAATAAAGACTTTGTTCTACGTAACTCCAATACCAAAGATATACCAAGGAATATTAACAATAATTCATATAAGCTGACATATAATGTTATCCAAATTTCCCCAATTGTCACCTTAATTTTTAATGACTGTCTCTCTTTGATCCAGGAGCTAATAAAGGTTCATATGTTGTATACAATCTCTCTCTAACCAAAAGTAATTTCTCCTTACATTTTTGTTTATTTTTCATGACCTGAAGTGTTTTCTTTCTTGAGACAAGGCTCAGGCTGGTCTCAAACTCATAACCTTCCTGCCTCAGCCTTCTGACAGCTGAGATTACAAGTGTTTGCTACTACCCCGTACTAAAGTGGAAGTTCTTTAATATCACACATTATTATTAACCCCACATTATTATTGTATCTCATTAATACATCAATCGCACATTATGACTGTATTTCATTATTTCTTCAGTGTTAGACTGAGCTAATTTTTTAGGTAATAAAATTACATAGATTATGTGTTCCTTATTATACCAGTGGACTCATGGAAAGACTGCAATCATTATTAGCAAAGTGATATTTGATCATTGAATTAAGGTAATGATCTTCAAGACTCTTTCATTACAAAAATATATTTTGCTCTTTGCAATATTAATGTAACCTATATATGGTAATACTTTGAAATCATGAAAACATCTCCAATAATCTCTCAGCTTCTACTTCACTTTTTCTTGTAGGCTCCCCAGAAGCACAAATCTTTGTCTTTTGATGCTCACTGCTGTATCCTTACTAGTGAGAATGTGTTTGGAGCATAGTAGACTTTCTATGAACATGAACTGAATAAATCACCATTAGCTGAATATTTCTCTATTCTCTATGAGACTGTGAATAACTTAAGAGCAAAGGTGATAGTTTCTTAATCTTTACATTGGCAGAAAATAGGGACTTCACATGTAGCAAATAGCCAATTAATGCTGAAGTTTTAATTTTTTTTTAAAACCTACAGAATGGAAAAAACACTTCACCAGTGACACATCTGACAGAGATTTAATATCCAGACTATGTAAAGAAATCAAAAAACAAAGAAGCAAAAAAGCAAATGACCCAATTAAAATATGGGGTAAATATCTAAACAGGGAGTTCTCAAATGAAGAAATAAAAATGACTAAGAAACATCTCAAAAAGTGTTTGTCCTAGTTTGTTCTTCATTGCTGGGACAAAGCACTCTGACCAATACCAACTTGGGGAGGAAAGGGTTTGTTCAGCTTGCAACTCCCAGGTCACAGTTCATCAGGGAGCCCAAGGTAGGAACTCAGGGCAGGAACCTGGAAGCAGGAGCTGGAGCACAGGCCATGGAGGAACGCTGCTTACTGGCTTGCTCCCCTGACCCCTGCTCAGCCTGCTTTCTTATGCAACACAGGCCCACCTGCCCAGGGGTGGCAACACCCACAGTGGGATGGGTCCTCCCACATCACTAATCAAGAAGATACCCCTCAGACATGGCCACAGGCCAGTCCAATAGAGGAAATTCCCCAACCTAGGCTCCCTCAACCCAGATGTGTCAAGTTGACACTAAAGTTATCCAGCACAATTGACCCCTTGTCAACTTGACACACAAACATCACTATTAAACCATAACTTTCCAATTTCTGTCCCCAAGATATGATGTTAATATCACAACATAAGACGGTACAACCTTAAAAACCCCCACAGTCCTTAAAAAATCCAAACACTTAAAAGTTCATAGTCTCTTTTAAAAGTCTCTTAATGGTGGGCTTTTGTAAAATCCAAAACAAGTACTGTCTTATTTCAAAGGGAAGAATCGTGCACACCTAAGCAAAACCAAAGTCCAGCAAAGTAGCTCAAGGCTGGACATCTGGGATTCACTCACGATCTTCTGGGCTCCAAAGGGTACTGGCAGCTCCACTTCTCTGATTCTGCCGTCCACAGCACACTCAGCTGGTCTCGCAGACCCAGGCCAGCTCCATTCCACACCTGCCGCTGTCCTTGGTGGTCGTCCCATGGTCCCAGCATCTCCAAAATGCTGGGGTCTCCACTGAAACTGAGGCTACACCTTCACCAATGGCCTCTTCTTGCCTCTTGTGGTGCAAAGCCTCAGATTTTCTCCACAATCCTTTCAATCCTGGGGTCTTCACTGCAACTGAAGCTACACTTTCACCTATGGCCTTTCCTGGCCTCCCAGAGTGCCAAGCCTCAGCTGCTCTCTGTGACCCCTTCACACTTTCAACACCAGAACCATACAGGAGACTTTTACACATTACTAAGTCCTGCTTCCAGCCAGAGATGGGGTTCAGGTCCCCTCTGTGTGCTGACCCTGAGGAAATACCTCCCAGAAGATTTCAACACAGTGATGCTGGTCTCTTGTTACTTAACACAGCTGATTTTTCAGCCCCAGCTAACCAGCATCAATTGTCCCAGTAAAGCAAAGGTTTTACTTCAGGTTCTGGTCTTGAAGTTTTAATTTTTAAGGACCATGAATAAATTAACATATAGGCTTTATTTTCTTCACATAGAAAATTTTTTAATCTTTAATTTGTTAAAACAATCAAGGTTATTTTAATAGTGTTTAAAATAAAACATCAAGCAAAAATCCTATTTTGAAATTATGGCTCCCAGGAAAATGTATTAAATTATGTAACATCTTATTATATAAATTTATTATCTTTGCTTGACTAGATTACATGCTTAATGATGTTTTAGCGACACAATGCTAAAATAGCAAATTGTTTTTTAAAGACTACTAAGCTACTTTACCTGTAATGCCTTTAATGTTCCTTTTAATCCTTCTATTTCTTTTTCTTTTATTTCTGTAGCAAGCTGGAATTTTCCCTTTAAGTTAAAAAAAAAAATACTTCAATACGTTTTTAGTAAAAACACAAAAGAGGAAAATGAAAGACTTCAAGAATCAAAATCTACACTTTAAACCTAAAATTTCACAGGCTTTAAACATACATCTACATGACAAATTCTATTTCTAATGGCTTTAAAAATCAAAATATGGGGCTGGAGAGATGCCTCAGCAGTTAAGAGCACCTGTTGGTCTTGCAGAGGACCCAGGTACAATTCCCAGGACCCACAAAGGGATCTGACAGATTGTTCTGGCCTACACACATGTAGGCAAAACATGAAATAAATAAATCAAAAGGAGGATAAATATAAATTAACACTGTAAATTCTATGTTCACAGTTATAATAAAAATGTGTAAACCATATTAGCAAGAGAAAATACTTAGTGCCAGATAAATTTCTTTTGTGGGAAGTTACATCTCCTTTTCCAGTCAGCTGGCAACTGGATGCAAATCATCTCAATGTTTTTAAATTTAAAAGAAGGTGGTTACACTGAAAACATGGTATGGTTAATGGAAGCACTGCAGTAAAATAAAAAGAACATTAGTTTGGAAGCTAAAGAGGCCTGAATTCTAGCCCCTATTTTAACCTTGTAAAATCACCCCATGAATATTCTCAATCGTAAATCAAAAAGATCATGTCACATAATCACCTTGGGTCCTTGCTGTAAGGCTTTAAGCAACCAACATTCTTCATTATTTTATTACTAACATTCATTTCATATTAAGTGTTAGCTTCAACTGTCAACTTGACACAAACCTAGAATCACCTGGAAAGAGGGAACCTCGACTGAAGAATTTCTCAGATCAGACTGGCCTATGTCTGTGAGGCATCTTCTTGGTTGCTAATTGATGTAAGAGGGCTGAGCTCACTGTGGGCAGTGCCATCCCTAGGCAGATGAGCCTGGACTGTATAAGAAAGGTAACTGAGCAAGCTAGAGGAAGCAAGCTAGTAAGCAGTGTTCTCCCATGGTCTCTGTTTCAGTTCCTGCCTCCTGGTTCCTGCCTTGCTGTCCCTCAATGACAGATTGTGACCAAATAAACCCTTTCCTTTCCAAGTTGATTTTGGTCATGGTGTTTATCATAGAAACAAGAAACTATAAAATATAGTGAAAAATAATCATAAATTCATTTAGCTATAGTTTAAGTTATTTTAAAACTTAACAAATACCTTTTCTTCTTCCAAGGCACACATCTTCATTTGCAACTGATAATATTTAAAATTAAAATATAAATTAGTAAACTGATAACATTTTTAAATTGTTAAATATTTTATGTTCCTATATTGTTTAAATTTAATGTTAATATGCTACTCTAACATTCAGAAAAAAATAAATATATAAAAAGGATAAGGCAATCACCAAAGTACATAAATGGCTGTATCACATTTAGATACCAATAATTCATCAAAGTTTAGCTTTACCCTCCAGAAATCTTAAATGTCTAATTATTTTACAATCTACTCTTAAATAATAGCATGAACATCATCTGAAGGTATAATTTTATGCAATCATAGTATTTGTGTTTGTATGGGCAGTATTTATGTTCTGAATTTGTTTAAATGCAGGTGATGGTGAAATAAAAATGACTGTTTTTAAAAAAATGACATTCTAAAACAGAAAAATGAAAGTGTATATGCCAAAGAAAACCAATAAAATATTCTAAGTACCATTAAAAACATTATCAAAATTGTCAATCAATATTTTTTTCTTTAAAACTTCCCTAACTTCCCCACACTCGTCATTTACATTCAACAATTCTTTATTTAAAATAAACACAGAAATGAGAATGTAGCTCAGTGCCAAAGTACCTTCCTACCATGTACAAGGCCCGAGTTCAGTCTCCAGCACTACAAAACAAATGAATATAAGAATCCAAAAAACCCAGGCATGATGGTGCACACCTTTAATCCCAGCACTCAGCAGGCAGAGGCAAGCAGATCTCCTATAGCCTTCAGATATCAAGTCTTATCTTGCCCAAAGTTTCTTGTGACCACAAAGATGAAGACTTCTTCAGTCTAGAGAATATTATGCAACACTTCTGGCTTCTGCTTCCTTACTTTCATTTAAAACTATTATAACTTTGGCTCAAATTAAAAAAAGAAAGTTCCTCCTGTTTAAATCAACTCATGCTAAAATGTAAACTATCAGTAACCTCAACCAACTAGTGAGGGAAGATGCATAGGTTTACATATTTTTCCTAAACACACACTCGTATGGAAATGAAGAGAAAAAAGAAGGAAAGAAAAAAGAAGAAAAATGAGAACAGTGGGGTAGATATAAGAAAAAAACAGAAAATATTATATATGAACACTTTTTAAAAAAAAATTTTTAGAACAAGCATTTCATTATAGCTTTAACATACTCATTAACAGTTTCCAGAGATAAGATATATCTCTTTCAAAAGTGGCTGAATTCACAGTTGAATTAATACAGTTATACAATATTGAACTCAGTATAAACCC